AGGGCAATGGTGGGGCCTCCCCAGGACTCCTTCCTCTCAGCAAGCATGCACAGCACAAATCTTGTGTAGATGACTAGCACCACACCGAGCCACCCAGATAAGGGTTTGTGTGTGTGTGTTTGACAGAGGCTGCTCTTGAACTTGGAACAGTCCTCTGTTGCCATATTTTTTTAAAACTCCTATTTACATTTTTTATATCTCCTCTTCCTGCTCTACCCCAATCCCTGCCAACACTGTGCCAGGGATGAGAGAGAAAGAGCTAGTGGGAGAGGGGACAGTTCTTTCAGCTGCTTCCTGCTGGTTCCTTGAGCCAGTCTCCAGTTTTTTTGCGTCACTGCATCAGCAGCAAGCAGGAGCAGCCTTGTTCTTCCTCACAGCTCCCCAGCACTCCCTGGGCCCTGGCATTTGTTCTCTCTCCCTCGGATTTACGCTGTCTGCAGCTGGCAAAGAGCTCCTCAGAGCCCGCATGAGGCAGGTAGTCTGCTGCTGTGGACCATCTGAATCAGCCCACACTTGAGATTAAAACAATTGTGATGATCTTGTAATCAGGTAATCAGAGCTGCTCCTCTGGCAGCTCAGTTCTAGATTAACTTTTATTTCTTCTTGTTGTCAATATCCACAACAGTCCTACTGACTCATCCTCTTTGCTGCTGGAATGACAGGCAATTTTCACCAAACCTAGCTGACTTTGTTGTGAGCCCTTAATGTGTCTTGGGTAAGAGGAAGCTGCTGGCTCGTGTCATTGTGGGTCACCACTCCTGTACCATGTGTGCCATGACGGATCCCAGCTCCCACCACACAGGCCTGTAGCAAGCTAAGAAAATGGGGGTAGGGAAGACAACCAAGAGGTGGACAGTAGTTCCAAAGACACTTCTACGTCCTTCTGTCGGGGCTGAAGAAATGACTGGGCAGTTAAGAGCTCTTGCTCTTGCCTGAGGACCTGGTGGCTCCCTACCATCTAACTTCAGTCCCAGAGGATTGACATATCCTCTGGACTCCCAACACATACAGGCCAGACACCCATACACAAAAAACGTCTCCCAGCTGCTTCATAACTCCTATTCCTGTAGCATTAGTTGGCCCTCAAAAGGAACTTAGCGCATCTGGTCCTGCCAAGAACAGGAGGATGTGCGGTCCGGGTTCACTTCAGCATTCATAGAGCTGTGCACAAGGACAAGGTCTGGTGCCCAGAATGTGCTGAAAATAATAGCTCGTGCCTTCAAGCAAAGAGGTGCTTTGCAGCAACAGAAGGGTAATGACAACAAAAATATCCAAGGTTAAAAGTGCATTAAGGGAGGCAGAGTCAGGCAGATCTCTGAGTTCAAGGCCAGCCTGGTCTGCAAAGTGAGTCCAGGACAGCCAAGGCTACACAGAGAAACCTTGTCTTGAAAAATAAAAAAGGAGTAGATTATGGGAGCCACACAGTTCCTTCCCAGCACTGGGGAAGGGGGGGCTACCCAGTGTGGGCTATATGTGGGGTTGGGGGAGGCCTTTTACATTTTTTGTGTGTGCTTGAGTGTTTTCCCTGCATGTATGACTATACCACATTCATGCCTGGTGCCCATGGAGGCTTGAAGCTGCATTGGATCCCTTGGAGCCAGAGTTCGAAGTGAGCCACCACGTGGGAGTACCGCCAAATCCTGGTACTCAACAAGAGCTGCCAGTGCTAGCCACAGAGCTATCTGTCCAGCTCTTGAGCAGGCTTTTCACACAGTCACAGACTTAAAATCTACCCAACGTCAAGTTTACAGTGAGTTTTACTGTAAACAGTCCCATGAGCAGGCCACTGCTTGCTGTTGTCCCCTTGGCAGCCTGTCATCTCTGGTCTGTGGATTTGCCTGCCTGGGTTAGATACCAGTGCAACTACACCCATCCTTCTGTTCCTGGCACTCTTGATGAGCAACAACTTCTGGTGTTTGGCCTTCTGTAACCCATGCCGGCCTGTACTTGATACGTAGACAGTTTGAACTCGATGAGATCTACCTGCCTCTGCTTCCCGAGTGCTGAAATTAAAGGTGAAGGCCATCATACCCAGAGCAGCTAGTTTTTAGCTTATACAAGTTAGAGCCTGGAGCAGAACTTCCTTCTTTTTCATGGTTGAGTAATATTTCACTGTGTGGGACAATGTTTTGAGTGTGTCTTCCAAGGTTCTTGACCTCACAGCTCAAGCCCAATGTGGTAATGCCTTTGTTTTCTGTGTGTGCATGTGTGTTCAGCAGGTCAGAGGACAACTTGTAAGAGGAGCTACTTTGTGATCCCTGGGGATCAAACTCAGGTCATCATGCTTGGCAGCAAGTGCTTTCTCCCTTGAGCCACTCTGCTGCTCATCACCCTTTTTGAGATAGGGTACAGCCCAGACTGGCTCAGACTTAGCCTTCATCCTGCGTCAGTCTCTCAGAGTTCTGGGGTGAGAAGTATGTTAGGCCCAGCAAGAGCCTAAATATAAGAAGGTATGAAGAGAACTCAGGAAACTAATCATCCATCGATGCAAAAACCCAAGAGACTCTACTTGACCATTGCGCAATGGGGTCACCCCTGCTGGTCAGCAAGGAGTGGCCCCGGGAGACAAAGACCTTAGGTTTTTAAAAGACACAAGGCGGGAATCTCCTTGGGTTGACTTCTTGGCAATTTAGGATTGGATGAAATGTTTAACTTTTAAAATAATTGGTTAGGTCTGGTCACCCTTAGGTCCAGTCAGCCCTGTGGTAAATATCTAATCTTCAAGTCAGTTTGGAATTTCCTGCCATCCACAGTTAAATGTGGGAGGGTGATTAACTCATCCCATGTCTGTTCTGAGGAGTGGGGGTTACAGGCTTTGGATCAAAGGTCAGGAGAAGGATTGGGGCCATTTGGCCCAGTTTCTAAACAAAGCCCATCTCACCGGCGCCAGCCGGTGATTTTTTTTCCATTTAGTAGAGATCTCTGCTTGTTCTCTTCCTTATCTCTGCCCTCACAGATGGCTAATGTCGGGAACTTTTACATTCCTCAGTTCTCTGGAGAAGCACTAAGAGGCTTTAATTAACATGGGCCTAAAACTTGCAAATATAAGTTATAAGGCAATTAAAAGAAACATAGGTTACAAAGTTAGTCTGATTCTTTCAAAGTACACCATCATTTCTCCTGCTTCAGCCTTGACACCAGTACGGTAGCTGCACAGAACTGGAGTCAGCCAAGGTTTGGGAAATGAATGAACAAATAAAGCAAAGAGTAGATGCGGGTGTCCTAAAATGGGGGGCCCTGCCCCGTGTCCCCAGAGTTTGCAGCCCAAGCTGACGTAGCTCGGATGCAGCCACGTACCCGAAGGGCTGCCCAGTGCAGCTCACCTTATCCTGGCAACAGAAAAAGCTGACATGGAGGGAGAAGGACCCCGGGGTTCCCCTGCCCTGTTATCTTCCATCAGGGTCCCTATTTCCCCTGCCTTGGTGACCACCACTACCCCCTTCCTAAAGGGACTCTGGCCAGCACCATCGTGTCAAACATGGCTCTGGCTGGCCTTGCTCCTTTCCACCATTCCCTCTGCCTTGCTAAATGTTTGATTACATTTCTAAAGCTAGCCACTGAGGTCTATTACATTATTTGGCCACTTCCTCCTCCTGGAGCTGACTAACAAGTTCTAGCTATCAAAGTATTGAAGTCCAGCAATTGAGAGCCCCCTTTGGCTCACCTAATTAATGTGCCCAAATAAAATTAAACACCTCATCCTAGCACAGGGTTTCCCCCTTTACCTGTATAAACTGCCATTCGTCATGGGCCACATCTGTCTCCTCTCCATCCAGAGGCAGTCCCTCCTGGACAGAGAGCCCTTCTCCCTTGTTCCTTTTCTCCCCTCTCCTTTGTTCCTTTTCCCTATTCTCTTTCCTTTCCCTCTTCTTCTGTCTCCCATCTTTGTCCCTTATCTGTGCCCTCTGTCCCTCTGGGACAAATAAATCTCCTTTGTGCCGAGAACTTGGTCTTGGGGGTCCTGGGCCCATACTTTTTCTTTCACTTCCTGTGTCTGTCCAAAGTTTGTGAACCACATGAGAGTGGGGGAATTCTACTTTGACAGGCTGACAGGAAGATGTTACCCTGTGGAGGACCATAGCCCCCAAGCAGCTTAGAGGAAGTGGGGTGGACAAAGAGCTAAGCCAAAACAGCTCATGTTCTCCAAGACAACAACATGCAAATGAGACCCCAAAGGGCTGACACCACATGGTCTAGTGGCTTCTGGACGCTTCTGACCTTCACCATGGAGGCTGGGGATCATCCCTGAGCGATGGAGGATGGGAGAGGTCAAGGGAACTCCCTGAAGTTGGCCCAGCCAGTGAAATCAGAGTACCTTGGCTCACCAGGAGCCAAGTCAAAAGTCACTGCGTGAAGTCTCAGTAACACCCCAGTGTGCCTGTGTGGCTGAGCTCCTGGCTCCTAGCTTGGGTGGGTCTATCGCGGGGCCTAAGCTGCTTTCCTTCTCTGTTGGGCCTTCATCAGCCCAGAGGCTCCTAAACCCACAGGGTGCCAGCTCTGCCCTAGAAGGTGTTAGCTTAGAAGGATGCAAGAGAGAATGGGACAGGCAGCTCACAGCCAAGTCAGCTTTGCCTGTTAGGCACAGGGACACATCACCTAGGACCCAGGGTGTGCAGAGGAGCCCCTGCACACGCACGCATGCACCTACGCATGCAGGCACACATGCACACACGCACGCACATTTTAGTTCATTTTAAAATCAGAAGAAGAGTCAGGCATGGACCAGGCCTGCAGCTCAGTTGGCAGGGTGCTTGCCTGTTGTGAAGGAAGCCCTGGGTGCCATCACAGCACCATAGAAAATAGTCACATGTTCCCAGCACCTGGGAGGTAGAAGCAGGAAAAGCAGAGCTTCAGCAGCATCCTTAGCTATAGTGGATTCTAGGCCAGCCAGGGTTCTCTGAGACCCTGTCTTAGAAAACTTAATTAAAACCAGGAGGAGGAAGAGGAGTTGAGGGTAGAGAAGGGAGAGAGGGAGGAGTAGGACTAGATTAGTCCAGGTTTGCTTTCTTGCTTTGGTTTTGTTTGGACTTTGAATTTGAGTCTCCTTATGTAGCCCAGGCTAGTCTGGAACAAACCCCAAATCCTTCTGCCTCAGGCTTCATGAGTGCTGGGATACAAACCTGAGCCATCACACTTTTACAGGCAACACAAGTGTAGCATGTCATTTCAGATGTGTTTTTGCAAAGGAAGGCGTGATAGAACTGTGTATGTGCAGTGAGCCTGTGCATTTCCATGTCTCTGTCCAACCTCGGGGTTTTTGCACATGCTATTTCCTGTTTACCACTGTTCCTGCACTTTATACCTCCTTCAGTCTCTCCTGCTTGTCCCCTTTTACTTTCTGAGTGCCATATGATTACTTCAGGGCTGCAGAAAGGAGCTGGGAACGAGTTCAGCTGTAGAGTGCTTGTAGCTCAGTTGGTGGAGTGCTTGTAGCTCAGTTGGCAGAGTGCTTGTAGCTCAATTGGTAGAATACTTTTAGCTCAGTTGGCAGAACGCTTGCCTAGCAAGCCTGAAGCCCTGGTTCCATCCCCAGCAGTACATAATCTTGGCATGATGGCACAGGCCTGCCAGCATTCAGGAGGCGGAGGCAGGAGGTCCAGGTCATCCACAGCCTCATACTAAGTTCCAAGCCAGCCTGGGCTACATAAAACTGTGTCTCAAAAAACCAAGAGAATATTGATATTAGGAAGGAGAGCTGCGGCTGTCTGAGGAGATCGATGGAGCAGGTAGACAGTAGGTACAGAGCGAAGTCTTGGCAGGAACCAGTATGAGCCCCAGCTGCAGACGGAAGCCTTGAGCAACATTCTGGTCCCGCCCTGTTCACCTGCTGGAGGAAACAGGAACTGCCTGGGGCTGCCCGCCCTGCCCCTCTGACGTGCAGACCCTGAATCGAAACCTAGGTTCTCCAGCAGCTTAAGAGCTCTTCGGAACACAGCCCAGGCTCTCCAAGGTACGCGTCCTACATCCTGTCCCCTGCATCTGGAATCCCAGCATCCCTGCATCCCAACATGCCCCAGCTGCAGAGCCTCTGGGGCTCCAGCACTGGGTGGAGTGTGGGTGGGGCTAAGGGGAGGGCTTGCTTGCAGGAGGGAACCTTTGCAAGCTCTGGCATGGTCATCCAGACCTGTCAGCCCGAGGGCTGGACGCTGAGGCAGGCCGGATCACTAGTTTGAGGCTAGTCAGCTGCATCATGAAACCTGTTTCAAAGAAGCCACGTGTTCCAAGAAAGCCACGAGGGGAGGAAGAGAGAGATGAAACCCCGCCAGGTCCTTGGGGTTCCACTGCCAGAGGAAGGAACAATGGGAAGGGAAGGAAAGGAATATGATTAGGGTTTTGTTTGGGCTGGGAGGCAGGGAGGCTGGGTGGAAGAAAGGTCATTTACAATAGGTGTTGGAAGATGTTCTGAGGTAGAAAGAGAGTAACCTTGGAGAACTATCTGGGTTCAGCTGTATTTCACAGAGGCAGATGTGGAGCCTGCTCATGGGAGCCATTCTGGGAGATGTGTTAGTAGGTGACAGCCTGGACAGGGTTGCCTGCTGCTGGGGGCCTGGACTCCACTCTGCATGAATACTGTCCGAACTGGAGCACTGTGGCAAGTGTCTGTCTGTCTGTCTGTCTGTGCCTGTGAAGCACAGTGAATAGTCAAATAAAAAAGGAGCATAAGACAAGGGCATTGGCGCATGCCTTTCACCCCAGCACTTGGGGGGCAGAAGTGGGTGGATCCCTGACTTCAAGACCAGCCTGATCTTCAGAGTTCCAGGATAGCCAGGGCTACAGAGGGAAATCCTGTCTTGAAAAACATGACATGAAAAAAAAAAAAAATGTACGATCTCCCAGTGTATCCTAGGCTGGCTTTGAACTCATGAAGGGCTGCCTCATCCTCCCAAGAACTGGATTACAGGTGTGTAGCAATAGCCTGGGTGTATCCCAGCGCAGTGGTTTACTAGAATACGCCTGTCATCTCAGCACAGATGGGGGAGGGAGGGAGGGATTGGGAGGGAATGAGAGAGGGCACTATAGCTCAGATACAAATAAAATAAAATGTAATTAATGTGAAAAAATAAAAATTTAATTAAAAAAATAAATAAAACCCAACTTTGACAAAGAAAAGAGAGAAGGAGAAAGAGAGGGAGGGAAGGAGGGAAAGAGAGGAAAAGAAAAGGAAGGTGCCTCCCACCTCTTTTCACATACGCAGATGTGTAAACAATCAATATAATGTGTAGTGTTTTGACTATATAGTCCTCTGTCCTAGTCATTCCTTTCTAGATATGTCATTTAATGACAGAAGCTAAGGCCCTGAGAGGTTCAGTTTGTGACACATCACACTGCAGCTATGTAGGACAGAGTTTGAACCCAGACCATCTGCCTCTACCACCAGACTCTTCAGTACCCTCATCCCAGGCCTCATCCTAGGGAGACTCCAGCCTAGAAGAGACAGAACTTGACAAAGATTGTTCAGCTCCATGGAACCCTGCTGAGAAAGGAGGAACAGGGAGGCCAGGGGACAGAGACCTCATGAGCTTGGTCATCAGTGTTCATTAGTGGATTCAGTTAATGCCTCTCTGAGGGCCTTTGGGCCACACCCTGAGGAAAGGCATTTGTTCTCTGTGGAGAAAGTCAACCAGCCCCTCCCTGTGGGATCAGCTGTGTGTGTGCCAAAGGCTTTCTCTGTAGCCCTGGGGCTGGCGGTGGGCAATGCAAAGCCCGGGTCTAGGGACTGAATTAAGAGTGATTGGAGAGATGGCTCAGGGGTTAAAAGTGCTGGCTGCTTTTCCGGAGGTCCTGAGTTCAATTCCTGGCAACCACATGGTAACTCATCTATAATGAGATCTAGTGCCCTCTTCTGGCATTCAAGCAGAACACTGTATATGTAATAAAGAAATATATATTTTTTTTTCTTTTTTTTTTTTTTTTAAAGAGTGATTGAGGGGACACAGGGAAGATCTTTTTGCTGGTTTTCCTTCAACTCGAAACTTAATCCTGCTTGCATTTCAGGACTAAGTCACCTCTCCAGCTCTGTGTCACCAGGCCCCAAAGCTCAGCAGTACCCCGAGTGTGAATTAACAGCATACAAGAACAGCTGTCACCTAAGGAGGTAGAGGCAGGTTCAGGTTAGTCTGTCTCAGAAACCAAACTAAGTCTGCTCGGTTGATAAAATACTTCCCGAGTAAACATGAGGGCCTGAGTTCAAATATGCCTTTCTGCAGGCATGGAGACAACAGAACAAAACAAAAGCCTACCACAGGGTAGGGGTCTGGGGGACAGCCCCCCTGAATTCTGTGACCAGCCTCAGGATTAGTGAAAGACTTTTTCTCAGGATATAAGATGAGGACTGAAGAGATGTCTCAGCCACTAAGGATACTCATTGCTCTTTCTAGATAAAACAGAAAAATAAAACAACTTTAAAAAGTATGTCAGTTTAGCTGGGTGTGGTGACACACTGGGGAGACAGAGGCAGGTGGATGCTCATGAGTTGGAGGCCAGCTTACCACATAACGGTCACCAGGAAGCAAGTGTGTGTTCACAGGAATCACCCTTGCTCTGGCCACATGGAGGGCTTCTGGGAGGAGTTTCTATCCTCTGGAATGTTAGAGCCAGGAGACACCCACCTCTCCCTCCTTTCCCCAGGTGAGTACCTTCCCTGGATGCCATGGCAGAAGGCGGGAGGCTGCCCCCGCCGCTGCCCCCTCGGCTGGACTGGTTTGTGCACACCCAGGCGGACCCGCTGACCCAGTTCGGAATCCCTGAATGGTTCCATGGCGCCATCTCTCGAGAGTAAGGAGACAGTGATAACCTCCATCCTGCCCAGATCCTGCTTCCTGGTCCTTCACTCCTAACAGTGAATATTTGGGTGAGCACTCAGGCGGCAAGACCCTGCTCATACCAGTACACCAGTCTCAGATTAGCTCCAGGCCATGGGAAGTGAGGATCAGATAGGGGGTACACACCAGTGAGGTCACACAGCAGATGCCCAGCACAGCTGGGCTCTCCGCTCGGTGCATCAAGCCACAGCCCTGCTTTCTCACTTGGAGGTACTGTGCTCCACCTCAGAGGGTTTCAGACCTGGGACAAGCAGGCAGGGGCTGGGGGAGGAGAGCTACTGCACGGTCATATCATCATCTTCCTCCAAGTGACACCTGTCCTGAACAGGCTTCAAACTACCACTACCAAGAAAGACTGGGTGTTGCTTGTTCATTCAGAGGCTGAGCTATGGTTCAATTGTAAGGTGCTTGTAGCTTAGTTAATAGAGTGCTTGTAACTCGATAGGTAGAGTGCTTGCCCAGCATTCACAAAGCCCTGAGTTCAGTTCTCAGGCCGCATGAATAAAGCAGGTGTCCTGTCATCACAGCCCTCGGAAGGTGGAGGGTGGAGGATCAGGAGTTCACAGTCATCCTCAGCTACATAGTGTGAGGCCAGCCTGGGCTACATGAGACCCTTTCCCAAAAGAGAAAAGAATACAATCTGAAAATGCAGGTCTGCCAGCTGCAGGGTCTCTGCCCTGGTATTAACCAGGTCAGGGTCAGGTGTTCCCAGGTTCTTGGCTTCTTACAAAAGGAACTGAAAATAAGGGCTCACATGAATTTGCAAAAGCAACAAAGTGGTCTATTTAGGAGCAAAGTAATAATTCAGATTAGAGAGGGTCAAGAATGACAGCAGGGGCAGCAAGGTGGCTCAGGGGTAAAGGTGCTGGTAGCCAGACTTGACAACCCACATAGCAGAAAGAGAAAATCACTTCTGTGGGCCGCCTCTGGCTTCTGAATGTGTTAGCACATTTGCCCGTGGAAACACATACAGGATAAATTAAATGTAATTTTAAAAAATTAAGAGGTTGGCAGCAGCAAGCCACATGAGTTGGAATATTCAAGGATTCTTTTTGTTTCTTTTGTTTGTTTGTTTGTTTTTATTATGTTTTAGGGAGATTGGTTTTGGTTTTTTGGGTTTGGTTTTGTTTTCTGAGACAGGGTTTCTCTGTGTAGCCTTGGACTTGCTCTGTAGACCAGGCTGGTCTCCAACTCACAGAGGCTCACCTGCTTCTGCCTCTGAAGTGCGGGGACCAACAAAAGAAGGAGAATTTGGTTGTTGCGGGTGTGCCTTGGGTGGTTCCGTTCACAGGCTGGATTAGAGGTCTTTGCTTGTGTCATGCTGTAACTGTGATGCATCTGACTCTAGTTATGCATAGGCATAAAGTGGGAATGAAGGATCCCACAAGCCCGCCTGAAGGACATCATCGGGTGCTGGGAAGCCTAACTGTTCATGCATCCCAGACCAGTTGGGCCTGAGTCAGACTTTTTCTTCCTTTGTAACGAGAGAGACTTACATTTTTATTCTGTTTTATGTCTTTAGTGTGTGTCAGAGGAATACTTGTGAACATCGGTCTCTCCTTGGCTCTCACCGTGAGGCCCAGGGATTGAACTCAGGCAGACAGGCTTGATGGCAAGCCCTTGACCCTCTGAGCCATCTGGCCAGCCCTAGATCAGCCCTTCAGTTCTAGCTACACTGGAGATACACTTGAATAGAAATTAAATTTGATATTTTAGTGGCGAGGAAACTTATTCCATTCCGAAGTGAGAGATGTTCAGGTAGCCTGATGCATGGGTACATGCAATCACAGAACACGCAGGTGAGGGAGCGAGGCTGCCACGGGCGTTACTACAAGAGGGCCGTATGCATAGCCGCAGCCAAATAAAGCCCGGGGCCACTAAGCCAGCCCCTCTGCCTGCTTGCCTCCCTTTCCATCCAGGCTCCTTTTTTTGTGCCTCTCCAGGGCAGCTGAGAAGCTGTTGGAGTCACAACCGCCAGGGACCTTTCTTCTCCGAGTCAGCCACAGCCATGTGGGCTACACCCTTTCCTACAAGTAAGGCCATGGACAGGGGGTAGATTGAGGCTGGAGGCCTGGCTGTATCCAGCAGTCCTGGGACACTGGGGTGGACCTGAGACTTGTATCTGAGGAAGGGAGCGGGCAGGGATGGTGACCCCTGCCCCTTCACCTTCAAGTTAGTGACATGAGTCTGGGTCAGGGAAGCCAGGGCTGTGAGCTCCTGGGGCCCCGAAGATTTTGGCATCTTAAAACATTCAAGGCAAAGCCTTCCCTCTTCCCTTCCTTCCTTCCTTCTTTCCTTCCTCCCTCCCTCCCTCTCTCCCTTCCTTCCTTCTTTCCCACCTTTCTCTCTCTCTTCCTTTCTTGGGAGAGGGTCTCATAGCCAGGCTGGTCTTAACCCAGCACAGGAAAAGCTGAGGCAGGAGGATCTGGAATTCAAGGTCATCCTTGGCTACATAGTAAGTTTAAGTCTAGCCTGTACTATGTGAGATGGTGTCTTTAAAATGAAAAGATTACTATCATTTTGCTCCTACTGTTTAGTTGAGACAGTCTGACTATGTAGCTCAGTCTGGCCTCCAAATCTTTCATTCTCTTGCCCTCAGCCTGCCCAGTACTTGGACATCAGGCAGGCAGCACCACAATTAGCTTGAATCCCTTTATTTCATCCACCCACGAACTCCTGAGGCGGGCCTTAGAAACCATGTGTGGTGACTGGGGAAACTGAGGCACAGTGGCTGCACGGAGAAGGTGGTGCACAGGGCAGCATCCAAACCCCAGTAGTGTCTCCACAGAGCCCAGACATGCTGCCGTCACTTCATGGTGAAGCTTTCAGATGATGGGACGTTCACCCTCGCTGGGGACCACGTGACCCACGCCTCTCTGGACGCCCTGGTCACCTTCCACCAGCAGAAGCCTATTCGACCATATGGAGAGCTGTTGACCCAGGCCTGCGGGCAGGTGGGGACAAGGGGACGCCAGCCAGCAGTCAGGGAGTGCCAGAGGTCCAGGCCTGGGGCTGCTCCCACTGCCCACCAACCTTCAGGCTCTGCTGAGCACCTGCATGAATTCACTGGGGCTCAACAGGGACGGCATTCTTCCGAGGCTAGTGACCTACCTGATAGGAGCTGGGCTAAACCTGCTATGGGAGGGGCTTTTTCCTCTGATTACTGACGGCCTGGCCTAAGATGTGCTGTAAGATGGAGCTCTTTCTGTGGTCTGAGATTTGTGGGTGAAGCGCTTTGATCTGCAGCTAGTGGGCATGGCTCCGTTGAGCTCCTTTTAGGAGGCCCCCAACCCAGGGTTCTCCCATCCCAGCCTTTCCCACTGCTGGGTCTGAGCTCTGTCTCTACCACACCTGGCAGGACGACCCTGCAAATGTGGACTATGAAGATCTCTTCCTGTACTCAAATGCTGTGGCTCAGGATGCTGAGAGCCAAGTTCAGAGGCCTTCCTCCTGCCCACCCAAGGAGGTAGGTAAGCCTTGGGCACCTCCAGCTTGGTTTGGGCCGGGCAGAAACGTGCTGCTAGAGCAGGCCCTTCTAGAAAGTGTTCTCTTCTGTAGCTAGGTAATTAAAGAAAAAGAAATTCCAGTGAGTTCAGACTCTGAGATTAGACTCTATACTTGAGTCTCCAGTAGAGCACTTGTCCGGCACGCCTGTGGCTCCGGGTTCCACCCTGGCCCCTCCAAAAGTAACCAATAAGTCTACAAGCTCTGTCCCGTGCCCCCAGCTGCCTCATCTGCTCACACCCTTCAGCCAACCTGAGGCCTTTCCTCCTCAGGCTCTCCACAGGACCACTGCATATGCCTGGCTTCTTCTAGAAGCCCTCATTCAAGGGTCTCCCTTTCTAATACCTGGATCTAAAGTGTCCCTGTTCTCATCTGCCCTCCACCCCCATCCTTCCCATGTCCATTTGTGCCATTTAACCCCTCCCCCTCCGCTACATCCTCCTATGTGGTCATTGCAGAGAACAAGTTTCAAGTTGAGAGGCACTTGTCTATTCTGGTGTGGATGTTTCCTTTCTGTTTCTCCCATCAGGCTTTGCAGTCTGGTGGCTCATTCTGCCCTGCTGTCCTCACCCCTCCAAGGGGATCTGACATTTTGTGTGTGTGTGTGTGTGTGTGTGTGTGTGTGTGTGTGTGTGTGTGTTTCTGTTGAGACAAGGTTTCACCCTCTATATAACCCTGGCTGGCTTCAAACTCACAGAGATGCTCCTGCTTCTGCCTCCTCTAGTAGGATTAAAGGACTGGCTTGTGGAAGGAGCTTGGCTAGTGACTCTTCAGTGTATATGAGTGAATAAGTGATGGGTATGTGTATTGAGACGCTTTGAGGCCAGTGTGGCTTCTGGCTGCCCGTTAGGCTGAAGCCTTGCTGTACTCTGGGCTTCCCATATGGTGGGGAAGTTCTGACTGCAGTGGGGATGAAGCAAACTAGGGTTTTGGACATACGTGTGGGTGCAAGTCAGAAGGCATCTTGGAGGAGGTTTTAAGGAGCTGGGGTAAGAAAGTGGTACATTTACACAATGGAATACTACTCAGCCGTTAAAATAAGGAATCATGAAACTGCAGGCAAATGGATGGAACTAGAAAAGATTATCCTGAGTGAGGTAACCCAGACCCAGAAAGACACACATGGTATATGCTCACACATGGTATAAGTGGATGTTAGTCCTATAGTGCAGGACAGACATACCACAATGCACAGAGCCCAAGAAGATAAGCCTGATGGGCATCTTAGGCTTCATGTGGGCCCACTAGCTAGGGGAGTTGGGGACGACTCTGACATGGACTATGTCGCCTGCTTTTGGGTCACATCCCCTGATGGGACTTCCCTACCAGGCCACAGGGGAGGAAGACTAAGTGAGTCCTCATGTGAATAGATGAGCTGGGGTGTCTGGGTAGTGCAGTTCCCCTATTCTGAGGAGAAGGGGAGAGGGGACATGGGATGGAGGGGACGGGGAGGAGAGGAGGAAGGGGCCTATGATGGAGATGTAAATTGAATTAATTAATAATAAATTTTTTTAAAAGGAGCTGGGATAGGAGGATGAGGAGCAGTGAGGCACAGGGATGCAGGAGGGCCTTCTGGGAATGGAGGCCTGTGCAAAGGTCCTGGGATTCTGTGTATCTGCAGAACAGAGTGACAAAAGGCCATATATGGACTGTTGTGGGCAGGGGCCTCAGGAGGCTTAGTGACCCCACCCCACCCCCAAAATGAGAAGGGTGGGGCAGATGCTGACATGCTGGAGAAGTTCACTGAGCCACACCTCTAGCCCAAGTGTGGCTCTTTTGAGAAAATTTGCCAAACTTTGGGAGAGGTGGTGAAGCCATACACACAGAAATGGGCAGGATGGGGCAAGGTTGGGTTTGGGAGCTCCAGGGCCCTGGGGCGGGGTTCTTGGGTAGCCCAGTGCTTTGCTGGGCAGAGGCCTCAGGCCTCCCCTTCTCTGTTGTAGGCTTCTGAAAGGAAACCATCCAAAGCAACTGATGAAGAGCTCACATCGGCTCCCTGCTCCCCAAAAGCACTTTTTGAGGAAGCGGGACAGAGACTGTGGAAGAACCTGAGGTCATTGCCTCAGACTAGCTGGAGGGTGAAACAGCGGCTCACTTCACACCTGCTGGGGGACACCAAGCAGCGTCGAAGCCCTGTGACCCGGGCGGCCAGCTGGGATAGCTCCAGCTCCTCAGACCCCTGTGCGGCCACCTCTCTCCAAAGCTCCGAAGAGCCCGAGGCCTGGAGAGGCAGAGGAGCCACCCTCAGGGCCTCCGGGCCTGCCAGCTGGAGGGAGGTGGTCTCAGGGGTCAGAGCCTGGCCTGGAAAGGTGGTGAGGGCCCTGTCAGCCCAGGGAAGCAGGCCAGAGCCTGTAGACTTGCTGGAAGCCCAGGACTGGCTACCGGAGGAATACCTCCCACCACCACCTTTCGCCCCTGGGTACTGAGAGTGCCTCCAGGATCTTGTGCATTCGGCTCCTTTTAAGGTCCCACCCCTGTCCGCACAACTAGGGAACTGTGCTAAAGAGGTGCAGAGCTGAATCCAGCTGAGAGAACTGGTTTAATGGTAACAGAATTAATGCTGCCACTTTAAGGGCGGAGTGAGATGGCCCAGCGAGGAAGGGGGTGAAAGGCACTTGCTTCCAAGCCAGACAACTGAGTTCCAGCCCCAGGACTCACATGGTAGGAGAAGAGGACCAGCTCCAGAAAGTTGTCCTCAGACCTCTACACACCCATAAGTAAATATAACTTTAAAAGACTTCAGAAGTGACTTGGTGGGCCCGGCACGAGCCTGTCTCACCTCTTTGACCATGTGTATCCATGGGCCCAACATCTCACATAGCCACATTGAATTAAAAATATTTTTCTGAAAGCTTTGCATCTGTGGGTTGGGGAAATAACTCAGGAGGTAAAGTGTTTGCCATGCAAGGGAAAGAACCTGAGTTCAAATCCCCAGAGCCTAAATAGGGCTGATGTAAAGGTGCACATCTGTCCTCAGAGCAGCTACAAGGAGATGGGTGCTGCCCTCTTAGACAGACCTTACTTCAGCAAATTGGAAGACAAACAAAATCAACACCAACACAACATGCTCCTTCCCACAGTCGCACACTAGAACACACACCCGCAGAGAGGGAGGGGCAAAGGGGGATTCACAATAGTTGCACCTGTGGCCAGGTGTGTGATACTTCCTAGCACTTGGACATCGGAGATGGAAGGGTCAAGTTTGAGGTTAGCCTGGGCTACATTCAAAAGAAAAAAAATTGTGAGACAGGTGTGGTAGTGCATGCCATTAATTCCAGCATTCAAAAGGCAGAGGCAGGAGGATCTCTGTGAGTCCGAGGCCAGCCTGGTCCATAGTGAGTTCCAGGATAGCCAGGGCTACAAAGTGAGACCTCATCTAAATAATTAAAAAACAAACTGAAATGCATCTGCATTGAATGTGTGACATGCTTCTCCTCTTGTGACAACTCCCTAAACAACCCAGCATGTAAGACATTCACAGCATTAGTATTCCAAGTCATGTAGACATCTGAGGTCTACCCAGGCTGTGCCTGGGTCCTGTGCACACTCCACAGTTTGAGTTCCTTGATGGGAAAGGCTAGTACCTGAAACCAATGAGGACAAGTGGACATGACCTTTCAATGTGTCTGAGCAGATTGGTCACCTATGGTGATCTTCAGCATGTTGAAGAGCCTGAAGTTCAGAGTGGTAAAGCGGCTTGGCCAAGGCCTCAGGGTGTCTGCTAACCTGGGAGTTTTTGCTCTTCTCAATGCCTGATGGACACCGAGCAGCTGGGCTTGTAACTCAGCTGGTCAGACATCCCTCCCTCCTAGAAAGTCAGAGTTATGCCAGGGGCTTTCACACTGGTGCGTCACCATCAGCCTGGAGGAACACAGGCACACATCTGAGGCCCTCTAAGAAGCCACTCTAGGCTAGGGAGATGGCTCCACAGGTAAAGCACTTATGGGCAGTATGATAGCCCTTCGTTCCAGCCTTAAAACCATCACAGCTGAACTTTGTAATCTAGTGCAAACAGGTAGAGACAGGAGGATTCCAGGAGCTCACCAGCCTGCTGCCTCCTTGCTGAATTCCAGACCAGGGTTTGTTTTAAAAAAGAAATCTGAGCCAGCGGTGATGGCACACACCTTTAATCCCAGAACTCTGGAGGCAGAGGCAGGCGGATCTCTGTGAGTTTGAGGCCAGCCTGGTCTACAGAGTGAGTTCCAGGACAGCTCGAGCTACATAAAAACCCTATCACAAAAACATAAAAAGAAAAAAACAAAAACAAAAAAAAATTGAAAACAATAGTTGAGCTGGCAAGATGACTCAGGTGAAGGCTCTCTTTAAGCCTGAGGCGGGGTTTGAGCCCCCCATCCATGGAGGAAGGAGATAACCGACTCCTGCAGCTGTTCTGTGGCCTCCATGAACACCGTGACATACACAAAACCCCTCCCCACCAACAAGTAACACAGGAGTTTTAAAAGTAACAGCGTCTGAAGGACAGTCAGAATCGCTCGCTGACATCCTCCTGCGTGAGAACACACATGTGCACACGCACCCCCAAACCACGGAGGTTTCTCTCCGCAGAGGGTATGGGTTGTCACCTCCTACCTTAAAGTGATGTGTGACTTCGACGAACTTAGACCTCTCTGGGTCCATTGCTTCACTTGGAAGATGGGGAAGACAGCAGTCCCTTCTCAGGGGAACATACAAAACACTGTCAGGGAGGACCTGGGGCTTTTATTTATCATCATCATCATCAACTGAGACAGAGTCTCATTATATATCCCATGCTGTATCAAAAGTGACAGAGATCCTCCTGCCTCTACCTCCTGAATGCCCCACCAAGCCTGGCCTATTCTCATTTTTGTTATATTTTGTTTTGTTTTGTTTTGTTTTGTTTTGTTTTGTTTGAGATAGTGTTGGTCTCACACTCACAGAGATCTGGCTGCTTTGCCTCCTGAGTGCTGGGATTATAGGTGTGAGCCACCACGCCCAGCTAGATCTGTTTTCATTTTTAAATGTGTGAGGTGTCCACACGTACAGCCACAGTTGCCCACGGAGGCCAGAAAAGGTGTCAGGTGTTTTAGGATGGAAGCTTCCAGCAGTCGAGAGCCACCACTACCGTGTGACTGCTGGAAGCCAACTCATGACCCAGGTCCTCTGCCAGAGCAACAGGTGCTGTCAACAGCTGAGCCGTCTCTCCAGCCCCAGAACCTGGTGCCTTTAATCATGGGGTAGGCAGTCTGGGAAGATTCTGGGTGGCCGGGCAGTGTGCTGGCATAACCTCCTCTTGGGCAGTGGGTACCCTAAACAATGGCCCTGGGGCAGCCTTGGGCTCCTGGAATTCACAAGACAGATGTGTGAGTGAAAAAGGTGCTCCTGGGCTCGGAACAGCCTCTGCAGAGGACTTGGGCTTCCTCTGTATGTTAACTGTGAAGCTCTTGCCCCTCTCCACCTTTGGAGTGAGGTCTAGAAGTCAGTTTGTTGTGTGAATGGAAGATGGCAACACAGAGTGGGTGTGGCCATACAGAAGGTCACACAGCAAAAGGCAAAGATCCCGAGGCAGGTTTGATTTCTGTTTATTCACAGAGAGCAGCGTGGAGATGGGTGTGGGCTATGCCTCATCCTCCAAGCACGTCAGATGCGGATGTGGAAGGTGCTATGTGCAGAAAGCAGAGGTGTCACCGCCAGCTCCCAGATAACACCCCCCAGGTCCCTGACACCCTCTCTTCTAGACCCAGAGGCAAGCAGGGAGCCACAGGGGCATGGACAGTCCAGAAACTACAGACAGTATCTCTTGCCCCATGTGACTTGTTAAGGTGTGAGGTCAGAGGTCAGCCTCAGTGGTCATTCCTCAGGTGGCTTCCACATTTTAAAATATTTACCTATTTGTTTGTATGTGCATGTGTGTGTGTGCGCCTGGTTGTGTGTATATACAGCATGTTATGTGAAGGAGCCTGCAGAAGCCAGAAGAGGGCTCCAGGACCCCTGGAGCTGAAGTTAAGGACAGCTGTGAGCCGCCATAAGGGTGCTGGGAACAGAATCCTCTACAAGATCCTCTGCAAGAGCAGCCAGCACTCTTAAACACTGAGACCCCCTCTCCACCCCCCAAACTTGTTCTTCATTTGGTTGATTTGGGGGTGTGAAGATACTGGCCTCCCTGTAGCTCAGGCAGTTCTGGAACTCACAGTAATCCTCCTGCCTCAGACTCTTGGGTGCTTCTACTACAGATGCCACATGCCCAGCTCTCTATGGGGACTGTAAGCACCTGTCTGGGTAAGCATTCGCATCCCAGCTCCTTTCCTGACAGGCTGTAGGACTAAAACCTGGCAGTTGGCTGCCTGTAAGCCTCCACTTATTCCTTGATAAACAGGAGTGGTGAGGTTTAAAGGTGGCAGACGTTCTTAATCCCTCACTCCAGCCGCAGAGGCTGGTGGGTCTCTGTGAGTTCAAGACCAGCCTGTTCTACATAGAGAGTTCCAGGCCAGCCAGGACTACATAGTAAGACCCTTTCTGAGAAAAACCAAATCAAATAAACAAGCAAGTAAATGGATGTGGTCCTGGGCCATAGTCTACCAACTGGGCTAACTGTGTCCCCACCAACAGCCCTGCAGCTAAGGCTCTGATGATCTCCCAGATTGCCAAGGACAGCAAAACTGTGGCAGCTGATGGAAGCAGTGCTTCTGCCCGCAGGAGATGTCCACAGCCTCCTACTTTTGGTCCTGGGACAGAGTGGGCTTGAAGCCACAGGAGATAGGGAACTTCCTGAGATCTTCAGTGACCTTAGGAATTCTGATTCCTGGGTTGAAACCTGCACCTGAGGAAGTCTGGAGCCCGCAGGATCATGCTTTGGAAGTCCTCCAGGGACAGCCTCCCATCATGGTCACCATCCGCTTCATCCAGCACCTTCTCACACACCAGCGTCACCTCCTCGGCACTCAGCTCCCCACGAGTCAGCCTGGTCACTGTCTGTTCCAGGTCCCAAGCGCAGATGTAGTCATCATTGTTGAAGTCTGGGAGGCCAAGAGTGGGGCCAGGGACACCAGGGGGCAGGAGGACATACGTTGTCTGTCCCCATGCTTTGGAACTGCACATGGGCCCCGGAACTCATACACGTGCTGACCACATCAGAACTTCTCACCGGAGCACTGAGAGCCGTCTAAGCCAGTGCGACAACTGCCCATTTCCTTTATATAACACTTATATTTCATGCCAGGCAGCCAGGCGACTGCAAGCATTTATTGAGTGTCTTCTGTTTGCCAGCCGTTAGAATAACTTTTTCTTCTTAAAAACTTTTAAAGTTTATATATATATATATATATTATACTTATAGATATAAATATATTTATATTTATCTATATAAAAATATATTCATATATTTATAAATATATATTCATATATACATATATATATGAATGTTCTATCTGCATGTACACCTGCACGCCAGAGGAGGGCATCAGATCATATTACAGATGGTTGTGAGCCACCATGTGGGTGCTGGGAATTGAACTCAGGACCTCTGGAAAAACAAGCAGTGCTCTTAACCGCTGAGCTATCTCTCTAGCCGCCAGATAACTTTTTTTATCCATCCATTCATTCACTCAACTGATTAAGCATTCACTGTGTGCCAGGCACCATAATTGCTTTTCACTTATCCACTCGGTCACCAAATAGCCCTGGCTGTCCCGTACTCGCTTTGTAGACCAGGCTGGCCTCGACTTCCTTCCCTGAGTTGCTGGGATTACCAGCGTGCACCACCACGCCCGGCTTTTGGTGTTAGCCTTTTTTGTCATTCTCTCACTTAGCAAGTACTTATTAAGTACATACTATATACCAACTATCATGATAGTTGCTTTTTATTCATTAACTGGCTCATCAAGCATTGAATACCTATTGTATGCCAGACACTGTGATTTTTCATTAACTCCCCTACACTTGGTAAATAAATGACACGAAAGGTTGTTTTAAGCATTTCGACCTGCGCCTGCACACAGAGCTGCCCATGTTCCTGATGACCTCCACAGCAGATGCGCTGAGGTCAGGGACACTGACAGCATCCCAGGAACACAGGTGACTCGCTCAGCAGAGGGCTGTCACCTGTGGGCTCTGTGAGCTGCTGGGGCCTGGAGAGTTTTATTGGTTCACTTACTGAGCATTTACTGTGTTGGGTACCATGGCAACTGTTCTCATTGGCTCCCTTATGAGTATTAAGTGCCTCCCACAGGTCAGGCCCAGAGAACAGTGCTGTTACCCCACATGCTCTCATTCAGAAAATACTGAACATCTATATGTGCTCTGACCAGAGGCCAGTGGGGATGCGGTCCAGGGGTAAAAAGCACCTGACTGGAACCCTCGGTGAGGGACTGGGAGCAGAGAGCACAGCAGAAGTGAATGTCCTGAGGCTGGAAACAGTCGATGAATTCAAGGAAGGGTGGGCCTAGTGCGGCTGGAATAGTGTGCAAGGAGGTCTGGGAGAAGGTGGAGGGCAGGGTGGACACTGGACTCCCTGGGGAGATGAGCATTATATGGGTGTCTTTCTGATTTCCACCCCAGGGCCCAGCACTCACCATATATCTTAAAAGCGTAGTAGGCCTTCAGGTCCCGAGGAGCCATCTCACTCATCACCGAGAACATATCCAGGAAGTTCTCTAAGGTCATGTGACCATCCCCATCTTGAGAGAAGACCTGTGCAATCCTCTGGCGGAAAGGGTTATCCTGGGGACAGGAAGGCAAGTATCTGCTCTGAGGGCCTCTCCCACAGCCCACGGGGTCATCCCTGCCCCAGTGCTCAGGACCCAGGGTCCCCAGACAGGAACAGGCAACTGCTGCTCACACCTGTGGTATACGCCTTTAATCCAGAGGCAAAGGCAGGAGCTCTCTGTGAGTTCAGGACAGCCAGGGCTATACAGAGAGACCCTGTGGGGTGGGGGCGGGGAATAACACTCTTAACTCACAACTGTAGGTAGCCTCAGGAAGTCTCTGAAACTGACCAGAGTTTCAGAGACTAGCCACTTCTTCCCCAAGAGCATCTACACCCTACGGACTGCCGAGAGATGTTCTCAGACAAGCTGGGCTGCTTAAAAAAGTCTCAGACCTGAAGAGGTTTACATCACCGGAGCCACATGGAAAGGGTGCTCCCTGACCCACTGAGCTGCCTGCAGGCGCTGAGCTCCAGGGGCCCAGCGTTGTGAACTGTCACCCATGCTGGCGTGGGCTTTGGTCATGCAGCTGTATTTGGGTCCTTTCCGCTCCTGTAAGGAACCTGTGGTGGTTTGAATGAGAATGGCCCCTGTAGGTTAGCGTATTTGACATACGCTATTTAGGCATCGGGAGTGGCATTACTTAAAAAGGATTGGGAGACGTGGCCTTGCTGTAGGAAGTGTGTCACTGTGGGTGGGCTTTGAAGGGTCAGGCCCAGAGTCTTTCCCTGCGAACCAGACGTGGACCTACTCCCTGCAGGTCTGCGTGTGTGCCGCGTGCTCCCTGCCGGATGGAACCTATGAAAGTTCTGGTGCTTAAGCAAGCTTCCAATTAAACTTTATAAGAGTTGCTGTCGTCATGATGTCCCTTCACAGCAATAAAACAACGACCAAGACAGAACCTTGATAAAACCCATTGGCTCACCAAGTTGGGCTTTGGTAACATCAGTACTTTGGTCTGTTGTCTGGGGTAAGTAGATGTTTATTCGTTTCCCCAGGGTTGGTGTCACATGCCACCTCCAGTGACACCACAAGAGGGTGTCAGATCCCCTGGAGCTGGAGCTGGAGTTGGAGATGGTTCCCTGAAACACACACACATATTCACACACACACACACATCCCCGCACATCCCCCAACATACAGTCCCTCCACATTTCCATAAAAATACACATCCTCCCACACCCCTCCACTTTCCCCACTCATACCTCCCCACATCCCCTACACACACACACACACACACACACACACACACACACACACACACACACCATTCCTCACATACACATTCCCCCTGTAATGAGCATAGTAAAAAATGCCTTTTAGACATGTGAAAATAGCTTAGTCATTACACCCAAGGCTACACCCAACAACCAGAACCCAGTGACATCACTCGAGATAAGCAGACACAGTCCTGGAACCCCATGATGCTCACTGACAGTATTTAAGTGGAGGCCAAGAACAATGCTCTGCTCTGCACATCTGGAGAGATGACCCTTTGATCTGCCCTGCAGCTGGAGCATCTCCCCAGGATCCTGACCCTCAGATCAGAGACTTCTGTTAGAAGCTGGACTTGACCTTCAGCTGTGAAACACTGCCCAGCCTTGTGTAGATAGGCTTAGGCCGTAGTTAGGAATTTAGAGTATGAACACTGTGTGATGGCCCTCAACATAATAAAATATAGCTGGGGGAGCGGTGAGACAGGGTTTCTCTGTGTAGTCATTTTGTAGACCAGGCTGGCCTCAAACTCAGAGAGCCGCCTGCCTCTGCTTCCTGAGTGCTGTGTCTTTCTGATCTCTATGATTGTTTTCTTTTTTCTGTTTTTGTTTTTAAGACATCAGCTTACTGTGTAGCCCTGTCTAGCCTGAAACTTGCTATGTAGCCCAGACTAGCCTCAAACTCAGAGAGACTTGCTTGTCTTTGGAAGTGATCTGATGTCACCATGCCCCAGCCCATGACTGCATCTTAACCTGAGTGTCTCTCTAAGCCCCGGCTTCTTTTTTTGTAAAATGAGGGTACCAGTAGCTTCCGCCTGGCATAGAAATGCAATGGAAATACATTTTCCCTTGTTCCTCACAGCCCCAGAGTACCTTCAGCTCCGGCATGCTGCCAATCAGCTCGTAGGGAACCTTCACCTCAGGACTGGTGGTATAGTCCAGGGGCACCAACTGAGGGGCCAGGTCCTGGTAGCGATAGAAGAGCCTGTTGTAGGGCGAGAGAAGCCATGAAATCTGGGAGCCAAGAGGCAGAAGAGACATGTCCCTCTTCTCACATTCTTGCAGTTACTCCTTCCACAAGAAAGGATGCTGGGTCCCCAGGAGCACACAGAGCCAGAAAAGGGCACCTCTGTCTTCCTCTCCACAGACAAGAAAGACCAGGTAGAGAAGGGAAGTCAAAACAAGGTAAGAAGGAAGAAGGGCTTCCTGGAGGAGGAGCATTGGTGTTGGGCTTAGAAGTAGGAGTAGCGTTCACCAGGAAAATAGAGTAGAAGGAGGAGGGGCCCGTGGCTGTGCCTGAGGGACCGGGGCACACTTCATCATTACTCCAGCAGACCCTGGTTCTACTGCCCCTCCACCCCCAGTCTCGTGCTTCCTTCACTTGCTCCACATGAGGGGCAGGCCTCTTCCCATGGGGCAGGCTGGCAAGCAGCTAAGATTCATGCTGTTCCTGCCTCAGCTCCCCAAGTGTGGAGATGACAGGCTCGTGCTGCTTCTGCTTGGATTTTTTTGAAAAAGTTATCCACAAAACCCTGAACACCACATACATAATCTTTCCATACAAATTCCTCACCCAGTGACGCCATGCCTTCCTTAGAGTGTATAGTAAGCCTCACAAAGACCATCTTTGATACCTCTGACGTACCCAAGCTGCTGTGTCAGAGGGACAAGGATGTCCCTGGGTTTTCTTATGACTGCAGACTGAGAGTGACTAAATGCTCCATCACTTTGTCAGCAGTCCTTCAGGGAACACTGAGTGTTCATCTTGCCTTGAAAACCTTTTTACAGTCATGTATTATTTGTGTGCATGTATATGTGTGTGCATGCCTGACAAAGGTCAAGACCAGGGAACAACTTATGGGAGTGCCTTCTCTACTATGGGTTTGAACTCTGGTCCTCATCCTTGGCAGCAAGTACTTTTGTTGGGTGAGCCATATTTTGGACCCACAGAGTTTGTATTTCTTTGTGGCATCCAGTGAGCGCCTCTCTCCTCCCAGCCACAGTTACTTTGTTCAACAATCTGGAAGCTCGGGCCAGCCAAAATGCCAGACTCATCAGAACTCTGCTTGTCTGCCCTGGGAACTGAAGTCCTTCTTGTCCAAGCCTCAGTTTCCCCAGCAGTAATCTGATCATGGTGGCCAAAGTGACCCAGGCAGCTGTCCTTACAGACAATGGGCTGATGGATGAGAGGTGTGCCCATCAATAATGGACGCTCTGTGCCCACACAGAGGGCTTTGGCCTGAACGCCCCACAGCTGAACCCCAGTCGGCTTGGGTTTCACGGCTCCAAGTTCATGGATAATGGCCCGACAGAAGGGTGACACGGGAGGTTCATTTGTGTCTATCTTGCTGGGTTCAAGCCAGGAACTTGCAATTACCCAGGGGCACCTGCAACCCCAATCTCCTTCATGCCACTCACAGCTCGGAGCTGGATCTCAACTCTGTAATGGATTTCCAACCACAAAATGCAAATGTGCCCCTGCAAGGCTCCAGCACCTTCCATGGCTCCCTCCTACCTTTGGGTAAAAGTACCAGTTCCTTAGTACAAAAGCTCTGCCAGGTTGACAGGGTGTGACTTCACAGCCACTGACCTTGAGGCAACATGCACATCAAAGCTTGAAATTTGCTGGTGCTTGACTCCTTTCACATTGCAAAAGACCTGAGCATGGTGGCGCACACCTGTGACCCAGCACTCAAGGGCAGAGGCAGGTGGATCTCTGTGAGATAGAGGCCAGCCTGGTCTACAGAGTGAGTTCAAGGCCAGCCTCATCTACAAAGTGAGAAACCCTGTCTTGAAAAACCAAAAAAGAAAAAAAAAAAAAGACAAAGAAGGAACAAAAGAAAGAAATAAGAAAAGGGGCCAAAGTGACAAAATGCCTCATTTGGTAGACATGTGCTGAGTTGCCTGATGACCTGGGTTTCACCCCTGAGACCCATATGGTGGAAAGAGAAATTTGCAAGCTGAAGCAGCGGAACTGAGTCCCAGAAGCCACTAAAAGGAGGCAGAGAAGGGCTGACTCCACAGATTGTCATCTGACCTCCACCCGAGCACCACGGCACCTGTGCGCACGCATTTGCCCACTCACAAATCACGCCCCTCAACATCCATAAGACGTTTTCAAAATTAGTTACAGCCAGCTACAATGGAATATACCTGTGAGCCCAATACCCAGGAAGCAGAGGTTTTTTTTGAGGCTAGCCTCAGCTCCTTCTCAAACAAATAAAACAGAACAACAACCAAAAGATTGCACAAAGGCTCAGCAGTGATTGGAAAGTTGTTTTGGAGTACCCTTCATTCCCACTGACCTCATGATCTCCTTCCTCGTGAAGAAAGTACAGTCCTGTGGAGAGAGAAATCAGCTTGACCCAGCTCTGCATCTGAGTAATCTCTCCGAGTGCCCCTCCAGTCACTCCTGATGTCACAAACAGGCTCTTCGGAGACTCTTGGCAGCCAGACTGGCAGGACCCATAGCCTCCACCCACCTGGTATTCCTCCAGCTGCTCAGGAGTGAACACAGTTTGCTTGTTGCCCATTCCGGGACCACAGCCTCGAATCCACTAGGACTGAAGTTACGGGAGCACCCACGCACACAGTGTCCCTGCCCTGGCTGTCACCCGCCCACCCATCCAGTCATCCCCAGGCTAAGTGAAGCTCAAGTTACAGCCTGGCTCTCTGGGCAACCATTTGTATGTGTCCACAGTTGAAGAATGAAGGCTGTGGGCGGTCACAGAGGAGCCATGCCTGTCATGTGGTGAGCCGTTCAGTCTAGGACACCTTCAACGGAAGGCCATGCACATACCACAGCTCAAATCCCAGCTTTCCCAGTTAGCTGTGTGGCCTGGGTAATTGTCTGACCTCTCTGAACCTTGCTTGTGAAATGAAAGTTACATTAATGTCTATGTCGTAGGATAACAGACATTACCTTGGGTGTGGAAGTGCATGCCTGTAGCTGAGGTAGGAGGGTCATGAGTTCAAGGTCAGCTTGAAGCTGCATAGTGAGACTGTGCGCATGCATGCAAGGGTGTGTGTGCATAAAAAGAGAGAGGAGGAGGAGGAAGAAGAGGTTTTAGGAATGGAGGGAAGTAGACTAGGGAGATAGCCAATAAAGAACTTTCTGTGCACATCTGTAACCTTAGTGGTGATGGGTATTGGGGTGGGTGAAGACAGGAGGATCCCTGGAGCTCACACTCAGCCTGGCCAATCAGTCATCTCTGGGTTTAATGAGAGATCTTGCCTCAAAAAGAAAAGATGAGAAGTGGTCGAGGAAGATACCAGATCACATACATGCACTGAACAAGGAGAGTGAGGGTCCTTGACTGTTGTTCATAAGCCAGCTCTAGGCCCTAGGACTGCAGGAGTGGATGCGGCTAGATGAAGCAGGAGGTGAGCGCTGCAGTCCTTGTATTAAGTGCTGAGTTAGACAGTGAAAGAGATACAACGTCTAAAGCTGAGAAACTGTGCTCTGCTGTGTTTGTCAGTTTTATTCAAGCCAGAGTCATCTGGGAAGAAGGAACCACAACAGATAAAACCCTGCCATGGGCTTTTGATCTGGTTTGCAAGGCAAGACCTAAGTCCCTCCAGTGAGAGAGCGGTCAGTTACCCATTAACCTTGCAGCACTGCGTCCAGAGTCCACAGCTCAGGGAAAATGGTTGCTCCTCCTCTCCCGCACCGACTTCCCTGCCTATCACACCTAAAATAGTGGGGGTGTGAGGCCTGTGTAACCTGTTTCTGAAAAAGAAACTATGTCTTAAGGGTAAATGACCTAGGCATAAACACCAGTTTTAAAAAAAGAGAAAAACCGAAAAACCCACAAAAATGTGCTTTGACCTCTGGTAATATTTAACCATCACCATAGCAACAGCTAATCAGCGAATACCTGAAATTTACCCAGATGTTCTTTACAATAGGATGCGTAAAACAATTATGGTTTGGCCCTCTGGACACCCATTATTTGTTAAATGTCAATCAGCCATAGAACTTCCAAGCTGGAATTCCCTGAACCTTGCTGTAACCCAAAATAAAAACCTCTCTCTCCCTGAGCTCTGGACTCTACGTTGGAGAACCGCTTCATGGGTGACAGTGTGGGCCCGAGCTCAGGCTAGTAATAAAGACCCTACTGTGCTTGCATTGGAACCGGCTCCTTGGTGGTCTTTGGCCTGCCCACAGAGTTGAACAGTATACCTGAGTGGGGAGTGAGGATTGAAATAATTAAAGTGAGTCACACTACACACCGGATCAGCTCGAGATGGCTGTCAGTAAGACTACAGCCATGAGTTTATTCCATAATTCCTCTTCATAGGCAAAGCAAAAACAAGTCACTTCAATACAAGAAAGAAGTTCATGGAACTATCAGACTTGTTTTCTTGAACTATTTCCCCATAGCAGATATGGTCCAAGGTCACACAAACAAATTTTAAAGAACTTGGGGAAACATCCTCTTATCTCTGTCTCAAGATGAAGGCCAAGGTGAAAACATGTTTTTCGCCGAATAACAAAGCAGCTTGACAAACAAGCAGCTCTCCACATTTGGGGTCCATGAGACTTGGGTATAACAAGGGCTGGCCAGCAAGGAGGAAGATTCCAGCTGATTCCAGCTTGATTTCTCTTTGTTCTGAAAGCGAGGGTCTCTTTAGCAATAGGATCTGTTGTTCTAGTTCTGGTGGGGGTAACAAACAAGCTGTTTCTTTTGTTCTTTTTTTAGATTTTATTTATTCTATGTATGAGTGTTCTCTCTGCATGTGTGCCTGCACGCCAGAAGAGAGCATCACATTCCAATATAGATGGTTGTGAGCCACCATGTGGTTGCTGGGATTTGAACTCAGGACCTCTGGAAGAGCAGACAGTGCTCTTAACCATTGAACCATCTCCCCGGCCCCAAGCTGTTTCTAAAAGGCTGTTTGGCTGTATTTTGTGCTAAAATTAGGGGATGTGGTAAAAAATTTTAAAAGCTCATTTTTCCATTTATTTATTTATTTTCTTAGCAATTTGTTTATTTATTTATTATACAGTATTCTACCTGCATGTACACCTGCAGACCAGAAGAGGGAGATCTCATTATTGATGATTTTGAGCCACCCTGTGGTTGCTGGGAATTGAACTCAAGACCTTTGGAAGAACAGCCAGTGCTCTTAACCTCTGAGCCATCTCTCCAGACCCCTATCATTTTGTTTGTTTGTTTGTTTGTTTGTTTGTTTGTTTGTTTGTTTGTTTTTTGAGACAGGGTTTCTCTGTGTAGTCTTGCCTGTCCTGGACTCACTTTGTATACCAGGGTGGCCTTGAACTCAAGAGATCTGCCTGCCTCTGCCTTCCAGAGTGCTGGGATTAGAGGCATGCACCACCATGCCCAGCTCTTTTTTTTTCCTTTTAGCTTAACAAAGTTAAGCAGGTTTCTGAGTGGGGTCCACACGCAGGTTATTTTGGGCTATCATCGCCACATACCCACCCTTTGCTGCCCTCTATTTCTTCCCTGGCTGAGGGGGGAAAGCTGCCAGAAGCTATCTTTGTCATGTAGGGTGCAGGTGAGAAATCAGATGTTATGCCTATAGTTGTAGCCATGTCTTTCCATGCAGTCTTCTCCAGCGTTAGAGCGCAGTGCCTAGATATTGGATGGTTTATAGGCTTCAAGTTCCAGTTCTTCCCTCTTCTTCCTGTCTCCTGTCTCCTCCCTGTTCCTGAACTCTTCCCCTTTGACTCTGTCCCAGTCACTGCTTGGTCCCTACTTTAATGAAGACACTGCCAGACAACAATGCACCACTAAGCAGAGGCTAGATAACTGCTGTGGATGTTTCAGTTTATGATCTGTAAACATGTTTTTGTTAAAATTCCAAGTTGTGGATTTTAGTCTGTCCACACCTGTTAAGTCTCTAGTGCAGAGTGTGGTTTTTCCTCAGGTGGAATTAGTTGAATTCTGAGGACTTTGAAGGGCATAAATATGACAGCCCAGAAGAAGAAGGTGCAGCTACTTGGAGGAGGACTGCTTGCTGGTTGCTGATTTGCTGGTTACTTGGACTTTTGGATTTCTCCATGACTAATATCAGTATTGCCCCTAACAAAATCCTACTACCCTACCCAGCAGGAAGTAGCAGAGAGAACTCTGCCCCCTGTCTCTCCTACCTGGTGTGTTGGGGGATTGGAAGGGAGGTAGAAGCATTTAATAACCCTAAATAAAATAGGTTTGTTAAAAAGTCAAGGTCAACAGGTGGCACCCAACATGGCTTAGGCACAGTGGGTAACTTTGTTGTGCCTGATTCTTGAAACCCCAAAAGACCACCAGGAGTTGAGTCAGTTGGAAAACAATGAGGCTCTTTTTATTACAAGCTCAAGCTTGGGCCCACACCCTCACTGATGCAGTGGTTGATCCAGCTCAGGTTAGGTAGGAGGTTCCAGTCCCTCCCAGCACACTCCCAAACAGGGGAATTCCAGCCTGGCAAGTGTCTTTTGGTTGAAACACAAAAGGGGATGTTGCATTTTGAACTGATTGGCTGTGGGAAGGTGCCCAAAGCATTAACGGGCTGGCTTCCTTTGTTTGGCTGTGGACAGGGGAGAGGGGTGATCTGGGCCAGTTTCCTACCAACTGTATCTCTAGTGGGCAGGAAAGAATGCAGTAAGGCTGGGTCCTCCCTACAGGTGGCTGGACATGTCTCCATCTGTCTGGTCTTTGTTCAGGCTGTGCTTTAAATTTTAATTCAATATCCGAAAAACTGATTTTTAATTGTTTGTTCTCTCAACTTCACTTCTAATGTAAGTGGAAGAATCGTCATGGTTTTGATAGGTTGGCAATGTTGTTTAAGGAAGCTGGCAAAATAGTGGCTACTGCCGCTGGGTGGTCTCCTGTCTGTTCCCAGAGGGAGTTTTCTGGTTTTGCTTCATAGTCTTTATATGTTCCATGTGAAAAAAAAGTTTGGGAGGAAAGCTGAAACCCAAAAATCTAATTTTTAATTGGTCTTGAGAGAGAAGGAGCAGAACTAAGTCCATCTTGTTTTTCAGACACCAATTTGAATGGCCTTGTCCTTTAGGTGACCCAAGTTCTCCCACCAGGAACTTGGCAAGGAAAAATATCTACAGAAGGAAACTGGCAAGTGAAAAATCACAGGAAGAACTTGGTAAGAGCAGACAGGCCCAAAAGAGGAACTTGGCAAGAATAATTAGACCCTGCACCCAGAGCCAACCAATGAAATAAAAGTACACACACTCACCTAGGCCAAAATGTTTTCTTTAGATATCCTGTTTCCCCATTGCGGCTTGGCCAACTGGCCAGAACCAATCATCTTAAAGGTCATGCCGCTTGCTAAATCCTCACCCAATCCTGTAATGCCAAGGCTTGGAATTCCCCGCTTGTGGTTTTTCCCTTTAAAAGCTCTGCCCTCCTGCAGCTTGGGGCCGCTCGTTATGAACTGCCGCATCGTTATGAACTGCTGTATCAGGGATGTTTGATGGCCCAAGCTTGGGCCTGTGTGTTTGCCGCAGACTCATATTCCTGGTGGTCTCTTGGTGGGGGGATGTCTCGTGATCTAAGCATAACAGTCTCTCAACTTTGCTTCTAATGGAGTGGAGGAGTCGTCATGGTTTGGATAGGTTGGCAACATAGCAGCTGCTGCCGCTGGGTGGTCTCCCAGAGGGAGACCAGAGGGGGTCTTGCTCCCAGAGGGGGTTTTCTGGTTTTGCTTC